TTCTTTTTCTGTTTGTATATTTATTCAAGAACTTTATACACAACAATCACTCTTTTTTTGTAGTTTAATTGTCCATCCTTTTATCACTTATAATTTAAGAAATGAAATTAAAAAATTATTTAGGACTTTTTCTATTTTCTCTAGCACATCATTTTCAAAATAGGTTAAATGAAAGTTTTAACCATTATTTTTACTATAGACTTTTCACACCCTTTAATATGTTAGTATATTTTCCTAACCTTTTTTAAAATCATTTTAAGAGAAAAACAAAAGCAGTGATATAGAATTACAAAATAAGATAGAAGGAAGTTAACGATGATTAATATATTACATATTTATCTTCAGAATAGGTGCTCAGATTATAAGATATAGGTATGCAAAATGGATCAAATAATATAATAATAATAATATAAGTATAATCCATTCTTTTCAATGAACTAATGCAAATTAGTACTAAAATTATCTTAGCTATTATATATATATATATATATATATATATATTATTTTTCATTTACCCTTCTTTTCCCCTTCCCCTATCTCAGTTGTTCTTTCTTTTTGAGCCATTTATTTCCCATTCACAAAATCTGTTGTTCGTTGTGGGTCTTATTTAGTCTCTTTTTTTACACTTGGGAGACCAAATGATATTTACTTATGTGAGTCTGATTTATAACACTTATGCATAAGGTCTCTAGTTGTATCCATTTACCTATGAAAATGTCAAGTTTTGTTTGTCCTTTGTAACTGAATAGCACTCCATTGTATAAAATTAACTCAACATTTTTATCAGTTCCTCAGGTAATGGCCATTTGGGTTTCTGAGATCTAGCTATGACAAATTGTGCTGATATAAACATGGGTGCACATATGTTGCTGTGGTATGGTGTTTTCACTTCCGGGAAGATACCCAGAAGGAGAATAGCTGGGTCAAATGCGACTTCTAATCCTAATTTTTGTGATAAATCACCACGTTGATTTCCACAGTGGTTATACCAGTCTACCCTCCCACCAGCATTGGAGAAATGTTCCTTTTTCTCTCCAGCCCCTCCAGCCCTTTGATTTCTTGATGGTCACCATTCTTTCTGGGGTGAGATGGGATCTCAGTGCTGTTACTTGTCTTTTTTGAATGACTGATGATTTTTGACATTTTTTCTTTTTTTGTCAGTTGTATTTCTTCATTTAAGAAGTGTTTATTCATCTCAGAAGCTCATTTTTTAGATTTGGTCTTTGAAATAAACCATTTTTTAAATTGATGGACTAAAATTATTGTATGTTATATTTCCAGATCATATGTATACAAAAACACATATTCACAAACTATAAAGAAGCATATTTTAATTTTCACAAGAGTAGGCCTTTACTCTAGGTTTTAAAATGTATTTTGTAATCATTGAGCTTTTGTTCTCTTCAACATTTGAACAACTGTCAAATTATAATTTAAAAAATGTATGTTTATACTTTTAAGTTTTCTTGCTGTTAGTTGTTTCTCTGTAACCATCATTTAAAACTATGTGATATTCCAGTTCAGCTGAACAAGTACTTATTGAGCAATTTGTAATGGAAAATATAAAACTCCATGGAGTTGAGGGTAAAATAATGAAGTAACTCCTTACAGATTTTCTTTCTTTCTTTCTTTCTTTCTTTCTTTCTTTCTTTCTTTCTTTCTTTCTTTCTTTTTTTTTGCCATTCCAAAGATTGAACTCAGGACTTTGAGCTTGCCAGGCAAGCACTTATTCTACTGAGCTATCGCTATCTCCCTGGCCTTACTCATTTTCATACTGGATAGATTCCCATAATTGGATAAGTGTAGCTGAGAAGAATTCTGTCCTGTTAGGATAGATTTTATTTTAGATGTAGTGGTTTCAATCTATGCAGCTATATTACTTGTTGATTAGAGGAAAAAGACAGAGAGAGATGACTTTTTAAACTTTAAGAATTGTTTATTAGTAATATATTTACAAGCCATAGTGATTACTTTCTTCTTGCGGATTTGATATATGTAATTGTCACATCTTACTCATTTTTGTTTTCTCTGCTCTGCTCTCAACTTCTTTCCCCGTGTCCTCATCTCCCTTTTCCATCTCTACAAAGTCTGCCTTCCTGTTTCTTTAATTTTTCTAGAAAGGATCTTGCTTTGTAATTTAGTATGGACTAGAACTCACTATGTTACCCAGGCTGGCTTCTAACTCCCAGCAATCCTCCTGCCTCAGTTTCTAAAGTCGTAAGACAACATGTGTGTGCCACCATGCCCAGCTGTTTACCTCCACATTATTAACATGGCTCTTTTATTTGCTCTTTAAATTATTTATATTTTGGGTCTCACACTAGAGAAACCATGGAATCTTTACTCTTTTATGACTGCCTGATTTCACTAAGGTAGTTTAGGTAATGTACACATAAATGTTTGTCTCTCTATACTGGGAACAGTAGATTCTATTGGATGACATATTGGGATAATAGGAAGATTTAGGAGAAAATGGCTGCTTTATGCAACAATGTCTTTCAAAAAATCTGTACTATTTCTCTCCATATCAATTGCCTCTTCTCAACATGTACATTCTGTTCTTTGAACATTTGCTAAGGTCTATGTTTCAGAAATGTTATTCACAAAGTGTGGCTTACATATCCTCAAACATCGCCAAGACTTTTTCAGGGAATCCTTGCATTAAATTAATTTTGTAATAAGTCTGAGATATTATTTGTGCAACTACTGGAAAGGTAATTACTCCAACCACTAACAGTAACCATTGTATTTTCCACTGTGTCACATGTGAACTTAAGAATTTTATTTATTTATTTATTTATTTATTTATTTGTGGTACCGGGGATTGAACGCAGGACCTTGCACTTCCCAGGCAAGCGTTTATTCTACTGAGCTATCTTCCCAGCCCCAAGGATTTTGTTGATGAAAAATTAACATTTATTTAATTTGTTAAATCTTAATCCTTAAATATACTTCTTTTTAATATTCTTTAACATTTTATTAGTATATTTTGTAATTCATGATTAATATGTTCTTTATTTGATATTGGTACATGTACATAACACATCTTGAACACAGTTATTTCTTGTTCACTTCCCTCCCTCCATTCTCATAAGGCACTTTAGCAGCACCCAGAATTAAATGGCTATCAAAAGTCAGAAACTTTTGGTCTGCAAACTTAGGGTGTTAACCATCCGGAATACAAATTTATTGTTATTACCATACAACTTAGGCTGTTAAGCTTAACCTCACTATCTATCTGCGTGTCAAACTTCTTAGGCATAATATGGAACTGGCATTTTTCATCAAGTATTGATATGTTGAACTTTAAG